TTTKKTWWTTKTTTTTTGTAATAATATGAAAATGTCGATTTATCTCTCATATTAATGTCGAACTCMTAGATACATAGAAATGTTAATGGAAATATCGACATGACGATGAATATTTAATACCTTACCAGAAACGAATGATGTCATCTCTCTTCTGTTCCATCATATCATTAACATTAACACTTCGAGGGTAAAATTTATATACTTTTTGTTTTTGTTCTTTTAATATCACGACGGTATCAGTTAGTTCGCGAGCAGTTCAAATCTTATGAGTCAGACAATAAGGTCTTAAAACATACAACTCTAGAGTACTTARAAGAAACACTAAGATATAATTTTTAGTACATAAATTAAACTCTAAGATTTTATCCTAGGTTGTAGTATGACCATTGTATGATGATTTTAATCTTTGTCCAAAGTCCAAAGTCCTTTTCTCACACTCAAATGAATTAGATTTGAATGTATAATATGAAGTTAAAAAAAAAAGAGGATTTATTTAATAGAAGAAATTCTTGTTTACTCTAAAAATTTATTAATTTTACCCAGTACATTAACTGATTTTATATGAATTCAAGCTGGTAAAAACTTGCTTTTTTAACTACATATTTATTTTTACAAGCCACATGGGTGACTCACAAACCAAAATAGGTTATATAAAGCCCTGAGCTTTCCAATTTTTAGGTTTCATAAATCTAGATTTTATAATTTAGTTTCATTTGTTTTCTTGGACAAATTATATTTTTCGTCTTTAAGATTTGAGTMATTGTTAAATGATCAATCAACTTTATACTACTTGTTTGGGGATAAAAATACCTTGGACCCGTGGAGGGCACTCATTGAAGCTCAAGCAATGAAATATCACAGGTCCACCTCGAACCTGTCGAAGTGATTGGGTTCACCCATTCAAAAAGGCTAAATATAGATGCTGAGGTTCGACCTGATTGGGGTTTGATCTGTTCGGAACCCGACAGGTCCGACATGAGAAAAAACATATAACTGCCGGTCGTGAGTACTGTCGGATCCACYACCTATAAATAGAGGGTCTSATTYCACGCTCAGGTATCGAATCTCACCTCGAGCTAAATATTGAGTCCGACCTATACTWACTTGAGCGTCRGAGTGTTTGCCCTCCTATGCAGGTTGGCTCTGGAGTTTAGGTCGAGCCGAGGACCGGGTTCGAGCTTGGTTCGTTAAATAGTGTGGTGCACTTCTTTGTATAAAAGAAAGAAAAGAGCTAGCTCGCGAAGCCAGGAGCGAGGTGTGCGTTATSAGGGAGCAGAGACCGACCTGTTCCATTACCTTCGGCGATACCGACCTGGAGGGGGTCCACTTACCCCATAATGATGCACTTGCCCCATAACTCCTGAAGAAGGCACTTACATTCCTTAGGGAAATCCATGAAGGAGTGTGTGGAAACCACTCTGGCGCCAGGTCGTTATCGGCCAAGGTGGTTCGACAAGGGTACAATTGGCCCACCGTCGAGCAGGATGCAAAGCAGTTTGTGAAAACCTGCGATAACTGCCAGCGTTTTGCAAACATTATCCATCAGCCTCCCGAGCTGCTCACCCCCATCTCGGCCCCGTGGCCATTCGCACAATGGGGGGTGGATATCATAKGTCCTTTTCCTCTTGGCAAGGGGCAGACTAAGTTCGCCGTTGTCGCTGTGGATTACTTCACCAAGTGGGCCGAAGCCGAGGCGCTCTCTCACATCACGGAGTCCAGAATCACATCTTTCATATGGACAAACATTGTATGCCGTTTCGGTATACCAAACGCTATTGTGACGGACAATGGAAAGCAGTTCGACAATGCAACGTTCAAGGACTTTTGCAGGAAGCTGGGCATAAGCCATCTCAGTTYGTCCCCTGCGCATCCGAAAGCAAATGGGCAGGTTGAAGCGATAAATAAAATAATAAAACGAGGGCTCAAGATGAGATTGGGCTCCAGGAAGGGGAGGTGGGCCGAAGAGCTACCCGAGGTAATGTGGTCATATCAGACTACCCCAAGAGAATCAACTGGCGAAACCCCATTCTCACTCGCCTTTGGCTCTGAAGCTGTCGTTCCGGTTGAGATCGGCATGCCAATAGACACGGTAGAGGAGTACAAGCCAACAAGGAACGAGGAAGAGCTAYTCCTTAACCTTGATTTATTAGAARAAAAAAGGAAAATAGCCCAGCTACGCTTAGCAGAGTATCAGAACAGAATGGTCAGATATTACAACGCCCGAGTTCGACCTCGAAACTTTCAGGTCGGACATTTAGTCTTAAGGAAGATTAAAAGTMATGTGGGCACCCTTGACACAAGTTGGGAGGGACCGTTCGAGGTTAAAGGCATAGTCCGWCCTGGAACGTATATGCTGGCCGATCTGGAAGGAAACGTGTTTGCGCATCCATGGAACGMAAAGCACCTAAAGCGCTATTACCCTTGAAATGTCAAAATGGTCCTAAAATGGACTTGTAAAAATTTTCAGGGGGGCGGAACTTTTAATAAATGACGGAGTTATTTAATTTCATGACTCATAGTTCGATCAGAAATTAAATGGGGGCCACGGACTCCCATAAGACTTAAAACTGGCAAAAATTGAATAAATTCAAACCTCAAAACCCACGAGTTCGAGGTGTGATGTTAAAATCAATTATGAACCAAAATTCAATCCTTTGAACGCTTAAGTTAAAGGTGTGATGTGGAAGGTTCAAGAAATTCAAACCTCCAAACCCACGGGTTCGAGGTGTGATGTCAATATTAATTACGGGCTCAAAATTCAACCCTTTGAGTGTTTAAATCAGAGGTGCGATGTAGAAAGTTCAATTTGTTGGATATTCCTTTGGACTTCCGAGTTTGAGAAGAAACATTAAAGATCAATAAAAGGAACTCTCAAATTCGAACCTTTTAAAGCATAAGTGAGAGGTGCGAGGTGAAGAGAGTTCATTCCACACTCAATCCTTTAAACCTACGAGTTAGAGGTGCGAGATGAAATTATTCATACATGAGTTCGAGTTTACAAAAGCAAGCTTAAAAGCTTAAGGAAAAATCAATAAAGAACAGACAGAGCTCGATGTGCAGAAGTGAAGAAACGAAGATTTCATTGATTAAAGGGTAGAGCCAAGACTTATATACCTTGCAGCTCTGTCCAAATACTTAAAAAAACAAACAAACAAAACAAAATAAGACAGGCATCAGCTGCTCCCAAGGTGAGAGGACAGCTCGCCCTGAGAGCCCAGAAGGTTCATCTCCTGGGAGCCACCATGCTGTGAAGAGACCTCATCTTGGGTAGTGCCGACCTCGACTTGCTCCTGGCTGTCCGCTCCTTCATCTTCCATGTTGGAGTAGTCAGAGTCTAGCTCCCTGACATACTTCTCCACCAAAGACTGGAGGCCCGGAGTGCTGTTAGGCACAGAAGCCCACTTTTCAGCGTACTTCTTCTTAGGATCGYTGAGGTCGATCTGAAGGTCAGGCATGTCGGCAGCAATGCCCTTCATCAGAAACTTGAAGCCCACATCACTGAAGTCTTTGGTGAACCYGTCGAAGTCTGGGTGCTTCCTGAACGCTTCCTCCAAGAGAACTCTGTTGGTAAGGTGTTCTTTGACCCCCTGGAGCTCCGCGGTAAGGCGCCCTAGTGAAGCGTCCTTCTCCTAAAGGGCATGGGCCAGGTCGTTCTTCTCTTTAAGGAGCTGGAACTTTTCCTTCTCCAACCCCTTGGTGATAGCATTGGCAGCTCGGAGGTGGGCCTTATGCCTTT